CACGTATGATCAGATACTATTCTTTTAGAAGAGGCTGTAATTTAAATTAGCAAAGATCCAAGCATTGCGGTATATAAATTTACTTCCCATCACAATCAATAAAACAAAAAAAGCTAATCTGTTTTAGGTAGGTTTAAAAAAAAATTTGCTTTCCTTAGGGGAAACTGGGAAACAAGGTAAGACATCTCCTTTCCTCTTCTCAGCTTGAATGGCCGTAAAAGCCTTTTAAAATTAAGTAGACAGCAGCATCTTTCTGAAAATCTGTATTCCTCCTGCACATCTTCCTAAGGAAGGATCAATTCTTTAGTCAAGTAGTTGTCACTCCTGTCTAGATTTTTACCCCTGTGATGAACCTCATTTTTTCAACTAAGTAGCAGATACTGAAATAACTCTTCCAAGAAGAGACACCAAAAAACTGTGATATGAAAGCATAAAGTAAAAACACTGCTTCTGACATTTTAGTCAAGCTTGTTCGTTTGCTTTCCTCATAGGTCAGAAATCAGAACAACTGGTAATATTGTATCCTTCTATTAACAGTTTTAATTCATTGAAATTTTCATCTTTGTTAATGCATGGGATTAATGCAGTTTTAACACAGATGACAACAGTATTTAAATACTGGTGAGCACTTAAGTGGTACTAAAAAGAAAGAAAGAAAAAAAAAGAAAAAGAAATAGTGCCCTCTGCCAAGACTGAGCACGAGCCCAAAGCTGCAACTGAACAGCTTGCTTAGAACCGTTTGTCACAGACTTTAGTGCAGACTACAGCAGAGCTTTTCAACTTTAGTCGGCAGGCTTCAGTTGGGTCTGTGGATAATTAATAAAAAATGATAATTAAAATAACCTCCTTTCATTAGATTTACTGTGTAATAGGAAGAAGGTTTCAACTATGTGAATTTATTTTTTCCAACTTAAAAAAGTGGTAGGAAATCAACAGATGAGAATTAAACTCTCGATATTTGACACACTGAACTCTTGAACACCACTGCCTAATATAGTAAAGCAGAACAAATACACTAGAATAATTCAAATCAACAAAAAGCAAGAAAATCCTTTGTTAAAGTCCAAACTGAAGAGTCTTAGGGCACAAGGGTGTGTCCTAATGCACAGAAGACACAATTCATTGTCTTCATATGCGAGTTATATGCAATTTGAGACTACAGAGGCAGAGGCATGCCAGGTCAGCAAGAGTCTATTTGGAACCTATTCTGTAACTGGGGACGGATGCCAGCACAAAAGATAGGAAGCAAGACTTGGACGGTTTTTATATCCGAACAAGAATTCAGAAAAAGAAATAAAAAACAAGAGGCAAAAGATCAGAAGCAGAAAGATTACAATGGCATTTTGCATGCTGAAAGGGTAAGAAAGAGTAACAGGAAGAACAAAAGTAACTTGGACAAGCTTTCAGTAATCATGTAGGAAAAATTCTCATAATAGAGCTGTGAAAAGTTGCAAGATTTTTTGAGGAAAAAAATGTAGTAGAAAAAGAGGATCTATACGGACAGGGGGATTCTGGAAATCTATAGTGTCAAAAGCAAAGCGTGAACAAGGATCAGGAAGAAAACTTGTGACAAAGTTTAACATAGATGTCCAGAAGCCATTTTTAAACAGGCCAGAGAAAATTCGAGAACACTTAAAAGAGCAAAACTTTTGCTTATTTAAGGGAAGTATGATACGCTACAAAGAAGAGATAGAAGAAACCACAATGGTGGCAAAAAAATACCGTCAAACTGTTAACAAGGCAGCATATTACTGACATCTTTCAAAGATTTAAAAAAAAAAAAGAGGGGGAGCAGAAAGTGATCAAATTTTAGAAGAATTAATGTTTCATGAATATTAAAGAATAGACCTTTGACTCGGACAATATCATTGAACATGCTGGAGCCACTGAAAAAGGATAACAAGAGTGAAAAACGGATTAAATGTAATCCAAAGGACAGTCTGAAGTCATAGTCCAGGCACAAGCAGCAGATATTATATTTCCAGAATCCTGAAGCAAAAGTGAATGAGAGAAGAAAGAGTCAAGGGAAAAAGCGGGAGAGAACTGGAAATCTGGCAAGGAAAACCGGGGTTATAAAGCTACAACAAAAAACAGTGATAATAAAAGCTGATTTCTAGAGAGAGGATGATAGTACGCTGTTACAGGCAATGTTTTCATTCAAAAAAAAAGAGGAGATGGAGACTATTTTGAGGAAGGAGAATGTACAGCTGGAGACTGAAAGTTAACTGCATGGTAATTCAGATGGGAAATGAAGAATGGACATTTCTGTTAAATAGTATCTTTTATTTCTGAAAAAGGAGCATTTCAGTTCATGGCCAAATGAAAAACGTATTCCATCTCAAGACAGAACACAACAACATAGCATTAACTTCAGGCTACTATAAAAAAAATAATAATACTGTTGACATTCCCCCCAGCACCTAAAGCAAACTGTAATGCGAAAAAGCAGTATTACATTATTCTAGTCCATAGATGACCCTTTTGAACCTTAATCTTCTTTCCAGGAGTCAGATCTGTTATGACAGATCCATTACCGGTATTTAGCATATCAATATTCTTGTTGCACAGCAGTGCACAAGACATGATAATTTGATAATTTAAACCACTCAAACCACTAAAAATACTTCTGAACTTAGCCTTGTTAATCAAGCCGAAGCCTCTGTACAAAGAAAGATTTGAGAAAATTAGCCTGCAAGAAAGTTGATTAACGTTATATCACCCTCATAACTGTCATTAGGTTTTGAATAATCTATTGGTTTTTAGATTGTACGCAACAATTCACTACTCAAAATCACAGAAACTGAAATCTTCTTGACAGAATTAAAGAAAGTTCACAGTAATTATAGCATAACTAATGCACCAACATTAGATTCTTTCTTTTTTTTGAATAGGGTGGTGTGCTAAACAGAAGATATCTAAGCACCACAAACTTGAATATTCAAATTTGTAATATTTTTTGCAAAACTACTACACTTAGATGAATAAGAATTTCTATATTTGAATATTAAAGTCTGTGATACTTAGAGAATTTTACACATGTTGAAAGGAGATGTTACAATATCAAAACAATCATATCTTCTAGAGACTTGGGCAGCTAGTAGGATATCATATTTTGCGCCTACTCCAGTCATATCTGTTCTTTAAAGAGAAATCAAAATAAGTCAAAACATTTCAGAGGTTATAGCATTGCTGTTCACAAGGCTACTCTACTAAAAAGTAGTCAGCATTGCATTTTGATCAGTTCCTAACGGTTCAACATGCACTTAAAAATTGCTAGAAAATTCAATTTACCCATCCTTTCCTAAAGCTCAAAATATGACCTAGGAATTGCTTTGAGATCTTTCCTGCAAAATTAGGAACGAACAACAATTTTTGATTTTGCACTTCAACAGAAAACCCCTCCACACGTTTGCATGTTTATTTTTGCATGCAGCTACATTTATGTATTTTTGATTTGTGACTGACAGCCTCTTAAGGCTGAGAAAAATAGAACACATCATAGAATTATGTTATATAAAAAAAAATATATTCAGTGAATTAGCACCTCATAAAATGTACAAGTAGTAACATCTTAAATTGATCTGCATGTCTGATTACTTTTATTTGTAGCAATCAAAGCATTCACAGAGCGGGAGAGAAAATATCCTGGCAGCAAATATTATGTCTAATCAACAAATACCTAGTTTTTTCCAAATAAAAAGGTGAAAAAAGGCTACTATTTTAGGCACCTCAGATTTTGGACCCCTCTCCCTTTTTTTAAACATACTCACAGAATAGCTGGTATTTGAAAGAGACTGTGCTGGTTTTATAAATATCAACAGCTGAGAAGCGCTTAGCTAAATGATTGCCTAACAAGCAGTGTAAGGCAAGTTATACCTCTGTGGTATGACATAGCTTGTGACTTCTGGACTGTTCTTGCTATTCTTTTCTGGCAAACCAATTCAGCTATAAAGTTGTTAGTTTTTTGGGTTTTTTTGGTCCCTTCCTTAGAAATATTCAGTTTATACCTCACTGGAAACCATAATCCTCTGCATGCTTAGCATTGCGTTTAGACAGTGTTTTCATGCAAAAAATTAAGGAGTCTGATAAGAACATACACAGCATCTGAATTCTTAGTATATTTTTTATGTAAATTACTTAGTAACAGATTAGTACAAGAAATTAAAATAGGCAAACCAACTTCTGATTATTAGATTTAATCATTTTTTCCAAAGAACATTTAACTGTAGCATAGATTTCCACTTATATTATATCAATAAAGATACATCTACAGACTTTTAAATGGAACAGAATAGTGACGTTTAAAGCCATAAGAAAATTAACAGCTCTTAAGTGCAACTTTCAAGATGATACCTTTCAGTTGATTGAAAAGCAGTTTATATAGTTAGAGGGGTATTTAGAGTCTACCATGATCTAATATAAGTGCTAGTTAAAGGACGATTTCCTTTACTTGAAATCATACCAACAATATGTATTGATCTTAAATGCAGTGTCTGCAAACAGCTTTTTTCCGACGATCTCCAAGATTAACACAAAACATCCTTACTTATAACAACTGCTTTAATTCAATACACAATGTTATCCAAGACTGAAAGCAACAGAACAACTCATTTTTTTGGCACTATGCAGAATTTCAAGCCCAACAGACAAAGTCTACAGCTGCCTGCAAACCTGATGGCCAGCTCTCAGATTTTTCTTGCAGAGCTCCAAGTATAGCAAGTACTGCTATATATATTACAGTACTATTTTCATAGGATAAATGTTTCAACAGTTCAACCAACAAACCTTCTCAAACAGACCATGAGCGTACATTTAACCTGTTTGCCAGCCTATTTGCTTTAAAGATTATATAAGACTCATGCTGAGGAATAACAGTTGTAAGGAGTCACTGTCATTCATCTGCTACACAAACTAAGTCTTAATACTAGAATAAGCATTCTAGATGCTTCAGCAATAATTTCATTAAAACGGTAATAAAAAGAATAAAAAGCAAGGCTTACAGTTTGACTTTCAGGAAAGTCCATCTTCAGCAACTTGTGAGCGCATTCTTCAAAGTCTAAACTGAAATAAGGAAAAAAACACGTCTCATCGTCTGTACAGTATATACCATGCTAAAAACATATTTCAGAATTATATTTGAGATTGACATTGGTGGAATGAATACCAGTCCTACTAAAATTGTGTTAGGTAACTGAACTTGCAAAAACTGATGTGACCCAAGGCTAGGCTCAATACATTTCCAAATATAAAGCAATGGCTATGTAACATAAGGTAAGCATTTAGACAATGAAGGAGAGACAAGAAAATCAGCTGTAGTTTAAGGAAGCTTTAATGAGTCCTTCCACTCCAATAAATATCTACCTAAGCCTTAATAAACACTGCTGAAACTTTTTTTTTTTTTTTTTTGGAAAAAAAGTATTTCATTAACCTTCAGAGAAAAAAATTCTAACATTTTGTATTTCAAGAGTTTATGTCTGAAAATTAATCCAAAACCAATGCATTTGCAGACAATCCAAAAACAAGATGATTCAGGTCATTATCACTGTAAGTAACATTGCTTAACAAAATTTAGTAACAAAACTGAACACGTGAGCTCGTTTTGCACATCCTGAAAAATACTGAAATGCAGACACTGTATGTAAGCTCCAAAAACAGTTAGTACGTGCCATGCTCTCTTCTTTGCAAATCCTTTCTTGACACATAAAAAGCCTCTAGATACCAGTAAGTTTTCCCTCCAAGCATAGGCGGAACTAACCTAAGTATCCAGAGGTAACTTGGCAAGAAAGTATCTCCAAGAGTAACTTTGAGAAAAGCTAGTCTTCTATACATCCCAGTACGGCATTAATTCAGATGTCTAATTATCATCAACACTATGACCACCGTACTTCAATCCTCATGCAGGAAAAAGAGAAGCAGAAGGATTTCAGATATGCAGAATATTGAGGGCTATTCCTACTTCTAACAACAGAATTGAGTGGTATTTGACAGACACGACCTTTTATTACTCTTTTTACCAAAATGATCATGTGGAAGCCACCTCATTATGTTGTCATTATTTGTGCCATGTATTGCAAGTGGACTCCATTCTCAAGATGGACACAGACACAGCACACTTTGTGCCAGTATATGAATGCTTATTTCACCAATAATGCAGATAGCAACAGGCCTAGATAGTATCACACTGTAGAACTCTATTCTCAGAAACCAAGAAACTCTGCAGTGTCTTCATTTTAAGCGTGTTGCATTTCACTTCCCAGAAATCCTTACAACACTGCATAGCCTGATGATCCTTGACTTCTGTTCATTCAAAAACCCAGCAATCGTCATAGAAAAGTCCTAGCGTAAATATTCTATTTACCTTGACTGAATAGCAAGATAAATCGTACGACGGAAAGAGACCAGGTTAATTTCTGTTTTGTCATGGATAGTAACTTTCTGTCCTAGGAAAGAGAAACATGGTTTTGTAAAGATCAGAACATTAACGTATAGATATGTAATCTCTAGAATGCATCTATTTAAGTCTGTAACACTATGAAATATTTTTTGCAAAAATATTTAGCACTACTTAGCTGTTTTGTGGTGGTTTTTTTTTTTTTTTTTTAAACAGAAAACCACCATCAGCATTTGCCTTATCTGAAACTAACAGGAAAATGTTTAGAGCCAAAATTTTAAGAGCATAACTCTCCTTTTATAAAGTCCTTTCACCTGACTTAGCCATCGCAAACTGAGTTCAACACTACTTCTCTATATTATTAGCCAGGCATTTTCTACATACTTTAACAATACAATGCTTTATATAGCTCTCATTGATTTTAACAGGAAATTCTTTATTTTGGCTACGTGTAGGATCTATATCCAGCATTCTACAAAGTTCTGTTCTGTCCTGGAGCAAGAGCAGAAAATCCGTATCAAACCACATCTAAACTGAACACCTTCATCCATAAGGCATTCACTATTTCTTCATTCTTTTAAACTTTAGCAATAGCATGAGTGATGAAGAGTTCTCTGAATTTCTTTCATCAGCCTGGAAGTTTTAGTTTTTTTTGAAATACTCTAGCAAGCTGATAAGAAAAACCATTCCTGACGTTCTGCAAATACAGGACTTGGCTTGCTTTCAAATTACTCACACAGTCTGCACAAACATCTCAGTTATGCTGATCCATCTTTTTTCCCCCCTGAGTTAAATGAAACATTCTTTGAAAACGTGTACACACCGTGATAGGGTGCTTCCAGTAAAGATCAAAAAAGAAGACTAAACAGACCTAATAACTGAGATATAAAGAGTGACTTCAGTTGTTAGAAAATCCACTTTGAATTTTGAAAGGGACTTAAAAACAGTTAGAGCAAAAACAATACACCCAGAAAGGGCTTTTCTACTAGTTTTTAAGCAAGCGGTTTCAAGCTGGTTCTTTTTAACATCTCACGTTTACAAGCTCTTCTTGCTTGCTTCTTCTTCATGTAACTGATACTGTCAAGAGCACTCAGTCAAAGATGCTTCTCATTTTCTGTCTGTGCTCCTGACTGTTTCCTTTCACCTCTTAAATTTTATACTACCTGCTGGCATTAAGCATTTATATCTGGGGAGGATTTAAGAAGAAAATACCTCTTAACATTCCAGTAAACTTGTACGTTTTAGCAAACCAAGAGAAGTTTTTTTCCCCAGTTTCACCTACAACAGTTCCATCACCAGCAAATTGATGGCCACACTCTTACCATCTTCATCCTCCTCTTCATCTTCCTCCTCCTCCTCCTCGCTACTTCCAGCCTCTTGGTCTGTTTCAGATTCACTGTCACCTTCATCAAGAATTTCTGAAGGAGCAACACTCCAGATTAAATCAATATACATCACAGCAGTTTCATTATAAAAAAACTTGATCTCAAACCTGAGAGCAAAAGGGTGTCCCTGGTGGAGAATCTGACAGAATCACAAAAATAAAGACTTCACAACCGAAACAAAAACATAGTTTTCGAAATGATACTGCAAAAAA